ACTGATATTTCCCAATGATAGGAGACAAACAATTAAATAAAATTTTCAAGAAAATGTTATAGGCAACAGATAATAGGTTTATTCCTCTGTTAATGAATAATAATGCTCTCCCACGCTGGGATCGGCTGGTCGACGATTACTTGTAAAGTGAGGACATTCGCCACATTGATTTACCAGCCAGGTCTCTTAATACTATAGAGCATGTCTGAGATGCTCTTGGGAGAACAACTTCATCTCACCATCCCCTTCTAAGAATCATCATGGATCTGGAAACTGTCTTGCTGCAGGAGTGAGATTGACTGCTATACAGACTCGTCAACTACCTTCTGTCCAGTATGCTGTCACACTCCTGAACCTATCTATCTGTGAAACTGTACCATACCCCATATTAGACTCATTTTCAGTTAGATATCAGTTTTGGACATTCGTGCACTATAAGCTTTACTGAATATATAAAATGGATGTTATCATGAATATATGAAATGAGTGATACAGCTCTTTAATTGTTATACATGTATAGTCATATCAAATTTCATTAAAATCTGTCTATTAGCTTTTCAGAAATTTAACATAATATGTAAATTCTCTTCATTTTGCACATAAATGTGTGTGTATATACAGGATAAATCTGAACAAGTGGGCAAAACTTTAGGGACTGATAGAAGGCAGGTTTACAAGCAATATTAGTGATAGAATGTATGGTTGGAATGCAAATGGCGAACTGCTTGGTGGCATTTTACATAAATGGTACAAAGAGCCGGCCCTCGCACACAAGGTCATTTTCTACCATGGAATGTTGAAAGGATTGCTGGATTGGTTATACGAACCATGAAATTTCTAGGGCAATGGATTAGTCATGGTGGTCTCATAGCTTGCCCACCAAGATCATGGGATCTCTTGTGTTTGAATTTTTTCCTGTGGGCCACATGAAAAGCCGAGTACCCCATTTACAAGTGCCTCATTGAAATCCACATGGATCTAGGTGCCAGAATCAATCGTTGTAACCGCCGATATTCGGGAAATGCCTGGTGTCTTTGCAAATATGCACCAATCCCTATTCGCAGGTGTGAAGCTATATTACAGCTGGTGGAGGGTCTTTTGAGCAATTTCTGTAAGCAAACTCTGTTAATAAAATGTTTTCTGAAGTATCTCCTCTCATTCTTATCTTAATTCTTTAAATGTGATGGTAGGAAACTATCCTTTAACTTCTTATTGCTTGCATTCTGAGAATACATGATATGACGAATATTGCTGGTATAAGTTACCTTCTATGTGTGTGTGTGTATGAATTTACTGTTGTGCAATATGCTGGTGCCCTCAGTTGTACATCATTCAAATGTCAACTGTATTTAGGGGAAAAGTTTTAATAAATATTCGTAAATTACATTTTGACCATCTCTTGTACTTCAGAAATTTTTTTATGCATGTTATTAAAAATGATGGGAAAAAGTAGATCCTCATGAAATTATATCTGTTATACTAGCTTTTTTTAAATTTTCTACCAGTTTATATCTCCTTGAAAAGATAAGGAAAAGCAGATGAATTGGTTGAATTCCATTTGATAGGATCTCAATTTGTTGCTTATGCAAGCTATTTTTACTTCCTTGTATGAAGTAAAAAGGAAGTATTGTAATCACGAAAAGTTTCAGGCAGCATATTTCAACCAAAATATCCATTTTGACCGCTATCGAATGCAATTTAACGATGTTTTTGTGTGATATCTGTACGTAAGGACAGAATAAAATACTCTTTTCCTTCAAAAAAATTATAAAACTGCTTTAAAATTAATTCTGAAGAGAATTTTTCGTGGCGTCTGTACGAACGTATGTATGTACTTGCGTACGTATCTATCTCGCATAACTCAAAAACGAATAGCCTCAGAACGTTGAAATTTTGTATATAGGACTGCTATAACATGTAGATGTGCACCTTGTATTTTGGTTGCAACCGGCCGCACCAAACCTATATAAATATATCCACTCTGTTACCCGTCTCAGTGAGCTCAGTTTCTTTACTTGTATATGTTTGTAAATTGTACATTTTTTGCTTTAACAATGATTGAATTATGTTGTTTTTATCTTCCGGTTAAGGATTTTATGCCTTTGGTAAATCTGTGTGCAATATTTATAGAATTATCAGCAATTTTAAAGTTGTTTAATTGCCGCTAAGCCTTTTTTTTAATGGCGGCCATTGATGTTTACATTTGAAAACAGGAGACTAGTGGATTTGTTGCCAATCTAGAGAAACTTAGCTTCGCAACAACAAAGATAACGCATTCATTTATTATTGCCATTTAAATCATGCTTAATTCTTTCTGGAATTTTTCGAGGAAATAAGTGTTTTTGAGATTTACTTCGTAATTTTTAAATATAGATATTTTGAGTTTTTATGTATTTTTGCCTTCTCACGAAGTGAGAACTGAATTAATTAAATGAGAACTACTCAATCATTTGTGTAAAACTATTTCTTTTTTGTTTTGTTTGCTTAATTTCTTTTATACATCATTCTAGCTTTATTATAGTATTTGAATAGAACATGTGGCAATGATTAGATAATTCTATTCTTTAAATGATATAAATTTTGTGCATTATGAGTTATAATATGAACGAAATATATAAGTTAATTGTTATATAATTATTGGATTATATAACAGTTAACTTAGTTTCCATTATATAATTATTATATAAGTTAACTGTTATATAATTATTAATATTGTTAAGTGAATCTAGCGCCAGTGTCGCTATGGTAACAAATACTAGAGTGAATTTTAAAGAATGCATTTATTCTATTGTGATTTATGCGCTGTCGGCGAAGTAGATTTAATTCAATCCAATAAGTTTAAATGAAATGCAAGAAAAAATGCATATAATTTAATATTCCAATACAAGGAAGTCATGTGGTGTACACATCAGATTTTTTTTGTTTGTTATTATGATAGGAAATGTTTTTAATTAGAATAGTTTTTATGGTTTCTTAATCTGTCCAACAAATTGTTTATCATGTCAGTAAAATTTGAAATAAGCAATTTGAAATCAATTACATGTTTTAATATATATATATACAATGATGGAGAAAAATGTCTTAGCAAGAAGAAAAAATTAATATAACACTCTGTAGAGCATATTGGATTACAACAGTGGTATAAAGGCATGAGTTATACTGTTGGAAGACACCTCCTTGAATGCTGTTCATGAACGGGAACAAAACAGCTTGAATTGCCAAACTGACATACAGATTTACAGTCAGGGTGGGTGGGATAACCATATGCTTCTACTGTCGTACGAAATTGCTCCCCAGACCATTAACTCCAGGTGTAGGTCCAATGTGTCTTGGCCACAGACAAGTTGGTTGGAGGTGCTCAGTAACCAACACATTTCTGTCACTGGCACCAAGGCAGAACCGTGTTTCATCAGAAAACGCAACAAATCTAAGCTCCGGGCTCCACTGAGCTCTAGCTTGGCAGTGTTGATATCATAAACGGCAGTGGTTTAGAGTCAGTGGAATACACGCTATAGGACATCTGGCTCGGAGTTGTCCTGCATGTAACCAATTTATAACTTATTGCATCATTGTGGTTTCAGCTGCAGCTCGAATTTCTGCTGCAGATGCAGTACAGTACACCACAGCCATATGCCATACATGGCAGTCTTTCCTCTCAATAGTGCTATGTGGCTGCCCGAAACCCGATCTTCTTGAGCCAGTACCTTATCTTGACTACTGCTGCCAACGTCATGCACAGTAGATACATTCCTGCCAAGTTTATCTACAGTATTGCAGAAAGAAAATCGACCTTTTCACACCCCTGCATTATGACCTTGTTCAAACTCACTGAACTTTTGATAATGGCTTCTTCTTAAAGGCATTTTTGGCTAACATCAACTCACTAAGTCAAATCTTAATGATATGATAAATAACGCTCATGAATTTTACAGCACATATCTAAAGCAAATCTGATCTGCATGTTCACTACTAGCACCACACTTATGCTACTAGAGTGAAACTTGAAGAGATGTCTTCTTTCAGATGTATAAGCAGGCCCAGCAAATTCTGTTTATCTAGCACAACTCCTTCTTGGTGGTTTTTTTTTTTTTTTTTTTTTTTTTTTTTTAGTGTGTATATTAATTAATGGAAGTGTTATTTGTTCCATAAAGGTTTTGCTTTCTGTTTCTCTAACCTCCTTGTTGTACTAGTGTCTTTCTCTGTATAGGTCAAAATTTTGGAAGATTTTTAAAATCAATGACATCTTTCACTTGTGAGTTTTTTTTCGCACCATAAATGCAAAGAAAAATTTAATAAATACTTAAGATTTAATTGATAATACATATAATTTATTTCTCTTTGAAATCAGAAACAGTCTTTTTTAATCTCCAGATGGAAAGAAGTTGACTGCAGTTTTTCTTCATATTCTCTCTTGCATGTAGTGTTTCATACAAAATAAACCCCTTATATTTTTTCCAATGGTGTTTTTAAGGCAGATAGTTTCTTCCCTTCAATTTAATTAACCAGTCTTTTATGCAAACCTCAAAATTTTCATGCATTCAATGCTTAACTTCTGATCAATGATGAAATGCATGTTTTATATTTTGCTGAAGTGGTAAAACACTTTCCCTCTTTAATATTAGTTTTAAAATAAAAAGTGCTTTTTGTCTGATCTAAAAAAACCATCTTTACATAAATCTTTATATATATATATACACTACTATATACTATACACTATTACTACATCTATGTACTATATATTACTTTATATATTAATTAAACTGTTTCTTTTATAAGCTGTTTCTTATTATTTCTGATAATATGCATATTTAAATTTTTCAGGTGGTTTCTTATCATCAAGTTTTATTTGTGCATTGCATCTCATCCTTAAGAAGCATATTTGTTTAAAAATATAATAATTTTTAAAAATCTGTGTTGTGTTTTCCACTAAAACTTGCTTTAAAAAAGTGTTTTAAACTTTTCTGCTTAATTTTGTTTATTTGTCTTTCGTTTGGTGACAGCTTTTTCAAAGACATTTGAAAACCCAAAGAGAAGATGAAAAGTGTCACAGTTCAGAAGATGAAGAGGCTTGTAACGAATGTAAGTTGAGTTCTTATATATTATTTTATGTTTGAATGCAAAATAAAATGGAGAATTAAAGAACATTCAGGCTGAAATACTTTAATAAAAATAAGTGGTGATAGATTTCTATCACTGGAGGTGAGTTGGTATTAAAAAACAGAAAAACAGAAGATTTATGGTATGATGAAGAAACATGTACATTTCTATGATGAAGGAAACACGTACATTTCTATAATAATAAGCATATGTGTGTGATACAAGTGAAATGTGATTTTTATAATAGTTTTGGGGTTACCTCTATTTTCTCTTACTGAGGAGCATATTTTAAATAATTATCAGTTTGAGTATATGTGGTCAAATACAGGTAATTCAGTGCTTCCATATTGTTCTATGCACATTCAAACCCATTTAAATTTTAACAGCCATGCATTTACCTTATAACATTTAAATTCAGATATCGAGATTAAATATTATCTTTCGCTGAGCCTTAAAATAATCATTAAAGCTTGTTGGACATTGCTAGATTTTATATATTGCAATTAAGTAACTAAATCCAACAAAAGAAACTGCCAAAGAACCAAATGTTAAAGCAGTTAATAGTAAGCATCAAGAAACAGTGGTAAATCAGTAAATTTGCAGTAATTTTCAAAGATTAACTAGAACTCTTCCTCAGGAGCAGAAGAGGATGTCAAAAAACTAACATGACACACACTGAAAAAAAAAAAAAAAAAAAAGTGGACAGTTCTGTATCTCCTGTGCTACTGGGTCGCTTCACGAAATTCACCTTGCATGTTTCATGTCTCAAAAGCATGACTTAAGATACATATCAAATATAATGAGAAGAAAACCAAACTTCAACAACACGGCAAACATCATGGCTCCAGAATTTAATGTTTGAAATGTCGTGGGTCGAGATTTTTAGTTTTCATTTGAAATATTTCCACTCGTTATTTTGAGTATTTTTTTATTTATATTTGAAATATCGTGGCTCAAGATTTGTAGTTCTCTTTTGAAATACCATCAGTCTTCATTTTTTTGCCATATTTCGCCATTTTGTTAATTTGATGGATTGCACAATTTTGCAGTTGCCTAATGAGGAAGAGGCTGCCAAAAGATTCTTTCAGGACAAAGGAATAATTCATAGCAATAGACTTTGTTCTCAAAATCATCCGATTAATTTAATTTTTGAATCAAACAAAGCTCCTATATAACGTTGATACATTGTGGAAAAAAAAAAAAAAAGGATTGAGAACCGACACATAGTTTGAAGGGTGGCATCTTTCTTTCCTCACTGCCATTCATTTAATTATCTGTGATGTGAAGAATTGAGATCGACTGAATTTTGCTAACTTCAGTTAGAAATCAGCCATAGTACGACAATAAATTGGAATAAGTACTTTAAAATCTTTTCACAAAAGAAAAAACAATGCTGTATTGTTCTGGAACAATGGGTATTTGAGGATGTAAAGCAAAGAATGTTTTCTGCTCGTCGTTTCCAATCGTTGTGCAACAATATTGATGACAGCAATTCAGGAAAACATCTCGGATGACAGCATTATTATATTTTCAGACTTATAAAAAGGATATAAGAAAGAAGAATTGATAAATGCTGGGTATGAACATTTCACTGTGAATCACAGTGATAATTTTGTAGACCATGAAACTGAATGCCATATCCAAAGTGGGGCCGTGCTAAATGGAGAAATAAACATCAGCAGGGTACTGCTTGCCACCTATTTGATAGGATTTATGTGGTGTCGATTATATTCAAACACTGAAATTTTTCTGCAATATTGTATGATATTTGCAATTTTATGCCACCTGTTTAGATTGAATTTCAGTTTGTTTTGTTATTTTTTATTTATGTGTAGAATGTAGTAGATTAAAAAAATTAAAAAGAATTTTTTTTTAAATTACTTTTTACAGAACTAATTTTTTAGTCTTTTGAACTCTATTATTATTTCATAATTTTATACTTCGCAACAGATGGTGGCCAAAAAAAGTGGCACATTTTTTAACCGACCCTGCTCTAATGAAATAGTACCTAACATTGTTCTAAGATACATATTTTGGCATAAAATTGAATTTTTTTCTAAAATGGCAAATGAATTATTTTCATATTTCGATCCTATGCCTCAAATTATGCCAAAGTGCCAAGTTTTGTAAAAATCGCTTGAGTAGTTTTTAAAATATTAGGTCTCAAAGAGTGGTGCAAGATTAAGATTAATTGAATTTGCTATATATTTATAATTGCTCATTAAGATTAATTGAATTTGCTATATATTTATCTCTTTTTTATTAAATTTATTTAATTCCTTATTTCAGAAATAGAAATTTGGGTTCAATCCAAATAAAATTTGCACATTTTGTACGATTTATTAAAAAATTTTAAAAAATATTTATAAATTTTTAAAAATTTTTTTAATTATAACCTATAAAGTTCTTATCATCATCTCAAAGTAGATATATTTCTAGGCATACCTGGAAAAAAAATTAGTTTTTTGTTCAAAATTACCCACGATAAATGTAAATTTATATTTTGCCGAGTTTTGTAATTTGGCATATAAAAGTTTGCTATTTTTTAATGCATTTATCTTAACCTTTCCATGAATATTTCATCTAACAATCTAAATTTAAATTTCTTATTGCATATTTCATTTAGTGATGCATCTTTTCTTTTTGCAATCACTGTTGTCTATTTTCTTTTAATAATATAAGTAAAATTGTTTTATAAATAATTAAAAGAATTTAGAATATTTTAAATTTTGACATGCTTCTGAAAATTTCAGTTTTAAAAGCAATTTGTTTTCCTACGCCTTCTAAAATGTTTTAATTTGATATTAATTGGTAAAGGATATTTTTTCAAAGTACTTGGAATTATTTGTGTGAAGAATTAAACCCAAAATAATCAGTTTCTATAAAATTTAAAGAAAGGAAGATGAAAATGAGCAAGAACAAAGTGTAGTTATAACAGAGACACCATATTGTCTAATTTAAGAAATTTGTTGCATATAAAAAGCATATATAATAGAACCAGAATTTTATTCAACATAACAGGAATTTATTGTCTAGCTTAAAAAGAAGTAAAAGACAAATTGTTACAATCCTCCTGCATATCTTTTGTTTCCAAGATAGCCAATTTTCAGCAAGAGGGAAACATCCACTTAGTAAACTGAATAAATATGTTGACATTCAGTTTATTTGCTTGTGGTTTAAAAAAAAAGTTTATCTGTTTATCAGCAAAACTCTTTTGCTTTTTCTTATTTTGTTGTATAATATGGAATCTTTGATATATGAATAGATTTTTACATTGATAGAAAAATTACATGAAATTAATCAAAGATCAGAATGGATCTCTATGCTTTTCATCTGCAGTAATGAATCATTATATCAGAATATATTGTTATGTCAAGAGTCACACTTAAAAAAAAAAATTGACTGCGTTTATTATAAATGAAAAATATCTTTTTTGACTTAATACTGTTGAATCTTTATCTTTTTAAAATTTCGTTATTGCCTTCACATATATTATATTCTTGATAATTTTGTATTTGTTGCATTGTGATGCTTGAAATAAATTTTGTATGTTATTTATACATAGAATTTAATTAAAATATAAATGAAACAAAGAGCTTTTCTATTTTTTTCAAAAGCAAATGAACAATTACAACTAACTTCAAATAAAAAACTGCCTGCAAAAGTAGATAATGTAATCAGAAGATCTTCACAGTCACACAGTGTGCCTATAATTTTCAGCAGCAAGAATAGGAAATCATCAGTATTATGCAGTGGGCTTCTGGATGAGGACAATGTAAGCATATGATTTAAATACTGCTAATGATTTTTTATATTTCTTATAAATGATCAGTTTAAATTCTTAACATGAATACCGGTTTCTGAATAAAATTTATACTTATATTATGTTTACATATAAAGTATCTGGTAGTAATGAAAGTTTTCTGCCAAAAAAACATTCCTAATGAAGTTAGAAAAAAAAAAAAAAAAACATGAAAGCAGTATGTTTAGTTTGCATAGTAATCACCACCCAAATCTATGATTTTCTGCTAACGCTTTGATAGTTTTTCGAAGCCTTGGGTCTGGTAACTTGGTGGCCGCAAATCCAAAAACAGACCAACCCAATTTCGGATGTCCTGTGCAGAATGGAAGATATCACCAGCAAGATGAAAGTGCAGATGTGAAGAAAGGTAGAAATCCAAAGAGGCAATATCGGGGCTATATGGTGTGTGTGGCGAAAGATTCCATTCGAGTCCACACAGAGTTCATCCGGTGAATACAGACACATGTGGTTTTGCATTATCTTGATGAAACTTTTTTTTTGGCCGGAACTCAGTTTGTTGTTTTTCATTGATAGCAACATCAACACAGACTAGCATTAAGACACAATAACACGCCGAATAAATACTAATTCAAAAGTCAAACAACAAAAATCAGCGTTATATTTACAAAATTTTCACAGGACTAGTTTCGATGGTTTTACCGAACCACCATCCTCAGCTGCAAAACCGCAAATGAACAAGATAGGAAATAATGATTAGATAAGATAAGAAAGCCTGGACGAGAATAAGCAAGTGGTGCCATCTGTTGGTGAAACCAGAACTAAAACATAATTTCTTTAAAAGGCAAATTTGGATTGGAATTAGGATCGTTAACTAGAACAGAAAGATTTTTATGAATGTCAGATGTCTCTAGAAAATCCAGTTCTCCAATGGAAGATGTTTTTTGAATAATTTCGGCAGCAGAAAAATTGAAAGTGTGATTTTCAGAACAACAATGTTGAGCAACAGAAGACTTCTGTGTTTCCTTTTTTCTAACATATGCCTCATGTTCTTTGACACGAAATTTTAAGGCTCTCTTAGTTTGGCCAATGTAAATTAAACCACACTGGCAAGGAATCCTATAAATACCCCAGGAATTCATATCCGGAATGGGGTCCCCTTGAGTATGGAACTCAGAACCTTCATCGGTTTGCCTGATTTTGAATCTTCATGCCATGGCATGGAGGCGATGAAGGCATGATTTAAAGTGTGGTGGAAGGCAAACCGATGAAGGTTTACTGTAAACCGTAGTATGGTTTACGGTAAACCGTAAGTCGTTACGGTAAACCATAAGTTGGATGCTTTACGTGTGACCAGAATGTCGAGAAATGGAAGAGAATTGCAAGTCTCAAGTTCAAAAGTGAACTGAATAGCAGGATCAATAGAATTCATTGTTGAAAGAACTTTATTTAAATCATCTTTATTACCTTCAAACAGAGTAAAAGTATCGTCTACGTAGACCTACTATTGACAGGGGCTTTTCACCCAACATTATAAATCAAGCAGTTAAAAATTTCTCATCTCAACACATTAAAAGGCACACTCTTGTTTTAGGAGATTATAAAAATTCTGTTGTCATTCCCTTCTTTCCATCAATTAGCTATAAAGTTGCACATATTTTGCAGAAATTTAACTTTTGGTTTGTTTATTCTCCCATCAATAAAATTCCGAGTTCCATACTCAAGGACCCCACTCCGGATTAAGAGCCGAACTCTTAAAGAAATTATGTTTTAGTTCTGGTTTCATCAACAGATGGCGCCACTTGCTTATTCTTGTCCAGGCTTTCTTATCTTATCTAATCATTATTTCCTATCTTGTTCATTTGGGGTTTTGCAGCTGAGGATGGTGGTTTGGTAAAAGCATCGAAACTAGTCCTGTGAAAATTTTGTAAATATAACGCTGATTTTTGTTGTTTGACTTCTGAATTAACAGACTAGCATCTCGCTCTACAACTTACCTGGCCAGAACCCTGTTCTTCTTGAATGTCATAGTCCTTGCTTTTGAACTTTCAGTACCATACCTTTACAGTGTCTTTAGCATTAGTACCTAAAGCTGTGCACATTTTGTTACCCCAGGTTTGGTGACATTATGTAGCTGACTTTTTGCAGCAGAACTGGAAGTAAATGATGGTTCTAATCTGATGGCATGATAGTTCAGTTTCAGACACCTTGTACTTAATAATATCTTTTTTTCTTTTAACAAATTTCATAACACAGTGTTCTAAAACAAGTCTCTTTCCTTCAAATGCAAAAAAATTTTTCACGAAATATGATTAAACATGGCAATGCAAGCTGTTTGCGCAGATGATATTTGCAATCGTGGGAAAATTTTGTTAAAACCAGATATTTTGTACTTCCCAACATCAATACTCTATGTATTTTCTGTTCATTTATTAGATAGAAATATTAATTCTTACAGTGTATTTTACATCTCATAAAAGACTTTAAAAAATATGTATACATACACACACTCTTTTGCAAAAAAAAAATCGAAGCACCAAGAAGGACTTTTACGATTGTGACAAAATTTGGTATGCAAAAACGTCTTGTTCGAACATGCAAATGATCAAAGTTTCAAGGCAAATGAACAGGAATTGCGATCATAGCGCACATTTCTAGTGCACAATTCGCAAAGTATGTAATCAGTAACAGAGGCAGAAAGTTTATCTTTTTTTTGTTGCTGCCATTGTAATTCCATAAAGAAGCTACTAATGATGCCATTACGACAATATCGGAGACCTTACAGACAACTAAACGACTTCGAATATGGTCACATTGTAGAGTTTGCGTGAAGCTCGGTGGTCATATCAAGCAATAGGCCGCCACCTGCAGTGTACAGACACTGCTGTGCAAAGATGTTGGCAGCAATGGTTGCTACAAGGAAAGTGCCGATGAAATGAAGGCTGTGAAAGGCCAAGGATCACGAATGCGAGGCAAGATAGGATGGTTGTTTGCCAGGCCTGACCCCCCCCAATGGTATCATTGTTGACTATTCAACGCACTACCACCATGTCTATACCTCCCGTGGTACTGTCCACCATCTCATGGCACTTGTCTGAGGCAGGGTTATGCTCACATGGGCCTTTAATATGTTTGCCTGTAACCCCACAACATTGGCGGAGTCGTCTGGAGTCGTGTCGCAGCCGATCATCATGGCTGCCATCAGACTGGCATCATATAGGGTTCAACGATAAATCCGCTTTACTCTTGAAGCAGATGAACACCGTGTTCATGTCTGGAGAGGACGAGGCTAACGGTCCCAATCAGTTTTTTTTTAGAAAGGCATACAGCCATAACCCCGGCTGTGATGGTATGTGGTGCCATTTCTTATGACAGCAAGTCATCTTTAGTCATCCTCCGTACATCTTTAATAGCTCAATGATATGTTTATATCATCCTGTAGCTGGTTGCATTACCCTTCTTGGCACATCATGCTGGGGGTATTTTCCAACAAGATAATGCCAGGCCACATACCATTCACATATCTCGGGTCTGTCTCCGTGCAGTTGATACACTTCATTGGTCAGCAAGGTCACCAGACCTTTCACCAATCGAGCATGTCTGGAGCATGGTTGGCTGCCAGATTCAGGCACCACAGAATATCACAGATCTGGAGCAACAACTGTTAAATGCCAGGGAGAATGAGTCGCAGAATGACATTAGGAACCTCTACCACTCCTTACCTTGACGAATTCAAGCATGCATTGCCACCAGGGGCGGTTCAACCAACTACTGATTTGAACACTCAATGGGTGATTGTGAGCCGTGAACAGGTACCTAGGACCTTGATTTTTTAATCATTTTATTATCTGGTAGAGCTATACCAATTAGTTCATCAAAAACAACCCTCTCAGTGTCGATTTTTGCTAAAGTGTATATAAGAGATTTATTTTGTTATCCGAATTGTATCATGAGCGGATATACTAATTTTGATAGAAAGCATTTTATAACATACCTTAATTAAGTTTTTTTAAATTAGAATACGGGGCTATCCAGAAAGTAGATTACGTTTTGGAATAAAAAAAATAAACAAAGTATAGGAAACAAATTTTATTATATACAGATGAAAGCCACACTCAAATACTACTTTTCTACATAGTCACCATACAAATTAAGGCATTTATCGTAGCGATGTACGAGCTTGGAAATTCCTTCGTCGAAAAATTCGGCCGCCTGCGCCTTCAACCACTTCGTTACCTCTTCTTGCCTTCCATCTTGCACAAAACTTGTGGTAACCAAGCTTTTCGCTGATGATTTCGTGCAACAAACTTCGCGAAATTTGTGGAAAACTCAAAGAAAGTTCCGTTATTGTGAAATTTCGATTTTCACGGACTTTAGCATCGACTTTTTCGAGAAGTTCGGCGGTCACTATGCTGGGTCTCCCACTTCGATCTTCGTCGTGAACATTGGTTCGGCCATTTTGAAATCTTATGACCCACTGACGCACTCCACCTTCAGTGATAATGTTGTCCCCATACACTTCACGAAGCTGCCGATAGATTTCTATCGGTTTACAGTTTTTTGCAGTCAGAAACCTTATTACTGAGCGCACCTCGCAGCTCGCGGGATTTTCAATTAACGCAGACATTTCAAACCGTCACAGTATCTGAACGGAGCACAGCACGAACCTCTCACTAGCACGGCTAGATGCAGACTGAGCTGCGCAACGCTCTGACCCCAAGATGGCCGCGCTAGCCCCGCCCCTAGCGGACACAGACGGAAATGTAATCTACTTCCTGGATGGCCCTCGTATATGATCTGAAATAATTTTTGTAGAAAATAAATAATGATTATGTCTTATTGCTACAGGACTGGTATTTATTTTGTTGAATATATAAAAACAGCAGAGTAGAAAACTAAAAGTATTTGTATATGGAGTGCATTGCATTTCTTATTTAGAATTGATATACTTACTTACTAGCTTACAGAAAAGTATTATGCACACAGTAAGAGAATCATGGGCTTGCACTAAAGGA